ATGCGTAATATACATACAAACTATGTGCGTTAAAACATATGTAAGTACATGCGAGCTGTCCGATAATGAGTGAGTGCATTTGACAACATAGTTTCCCTTCCGCATTTTCGACGCGTCCGCTCGTACAAAATAAAACAAAAATTGTCCAAGTGACTCCCAAACACTTTCATAAGCTGCAATCTATGTACTTGTATGTATGTTATTGATGAGCTGTGAAGAGGACATTTTTGACCTATAAAAATGGAAAATTTTGCAAGCTCATGCATAGTCTTTCTAATGAAGTGGCAAAAAGGCGACAGACTGATAAGTTACAAGCTGTTTAATGTGCAACATATGTTGAGGCATTAATGCGTATGTATGCAAGTATGTGTTTTTGTAAATATATACTTTTGTCTTGTGGATATGTACCGTTACTGACAATTTACAAGCAACAAAATGCAGTCTTTGGTTTGCCAGTGCAATTTTGCATGCCTAGAAATAGGAATACTTGCGGGATGCTCGAGCATAAGTGCATCGGCGGCGTTGTCTGCGCTTCAACAGAATCGTAGCAGAAGCATCGTGTTCATTTTTAGCATTACAGCTAACACATTTGACATGTTAAGCACTAGCTGTCCGCCTGCTTGCCACCTAGTAGATTTTCGAAGGCTCTGCACCCCTCACCACAACGCGCTGCTCATATGACCAAACATTTTTGTGACGCGTCTAATGCAGTTGCTTAGTCTCTTGACTGGCATCTTGCTTGTGAGCAAACGTTTTATGTTGCTTTAGGAAAAAAATCTTCATTTGACCAGTTTTAATTTTTTTTATTTATTTTTTTCCCCGCAAGTGTATTTCCTTTTTCTCTGTTGAAAACTTCTCTTCAAAATTATCTCACTTTTTTTTTTGGTGAAATGAGCAAAGTGTTTAAAATTAGCTGCATTCGGTTTTGGTTTTTATTGGTTTTTATTTTGTTTATATTGCCTTACTTTCTTCCTCTACAAACAAATTGTGTCTTTTCCTCTTCAGTTTTTTATTTTTAGCCAAAAGACGAAATGCTCTGCCAGTTTTTGGTATTAATTTTTATTTCTTATTTTTCGCTTTTATTTTTAATCCCAGTTTTATGTATTTTTTTATTTTTTTTTATTTTTAATGTTTTTTTACATTTTTAAATATTTTTTAAATTGTATGTTTCTTTGCCACTAATAGTTCTTCATTTACAGCTGAAAGCCTTTTATGAAATTTCATAATTAAAAAAAAAAAAATTATTTTCTCTGACATTTTTATTTATGCGTTTTATTTACTAAGGGTGACGACGTTGAACCATCTTTCTCCTTTCATCGAAGGGGATTTTTAGTTTGTGTCAAAATGTTTCAGAACCAACGTGTGGCCATAAAAATGTCAATATAAATTAATGTGTTAATAAGTGGAACACGCTGAGAACTCTGTGTGTCGATAGGCTGATATGTAAGATCTAGCGCGGAGAGAGATCAAATCTCTACTTTGTCACAATTAGAGCTCCTAATTGAATGCGCAGTATTTTTTAAAAAAGCTAAAATATCGAAACACTCAGTAGGACACTGAAATTCAGTACCCCGTCGGCTGAATATGATCCGTAATTGTTTCCAAGTAATTATAGGCCCCCACATAGTTGAGCAATCTATCTTTCTTTTAATCAATGGATCCCTCGAATCACCTTAATCAGAAGCTTGTAAAACATGAAAGATCGCAGCTAATTGGGCAGAATGAAAAAATCCTGTTTACTTTCAAGCAAACTTTTGCGCGTTTTGAAAGTGCCGTAATTCAACTCTAGCTAATCTTTTCTTCAACTATAACGCAAAAGCTGTATTCTTTTAGTTTAGTTGTGAAAGCCAGATTCGCGGGATATTTGCATATAAGAAGTTGACCCATAGCAAGCATGTGAGGTACATGCCTTTTGCAGTTATATGCGGCTTCAAGGCAACCATTAAACCTACCCGAACAGTGACCCCCATAAAAGCCCGTGTTAAACTCAAGGTCAAGTTCGCGTAATCCCTGATTAAATATCTCATTGAAGATAAGTTCAGTCGATTTTTTTTTTCAATTAAACACCCCTCCTCCTGCCCAGGCAGGTCGTAAGCGTTTGTAATTCACTGCCAACTTCAAATAACAACAGTCATTAACGTAATTATCAGTTATTTTTTCTAACACGCAATCTCCGGCTACTACCTGCATGGCTTGGCTACACACTCGCCGGCTCATTCACAAAATATGGTTATTAACAAAAAGTCATATTTCCCACACTACAAAAACAAAGGCAAAAGTGAAAAAATTAAAATTTTCAAAAATGTAGTAAGTGTTGAAGAAAATATTCAAAAGTGGCGCAGCACCAAAAAAAAGATTGTAAAAATTTATTAATATTTTTTTGCACTTCTTAAAAAGCCATTAACGAAATTACCGCAATAGTTTGGTTATCTACCGACCACTGGGCACTTCACTTTACGCTTGCCGTCGCCCAAGACAACTCACCCCCCGTCTGCTTCTCTCTCAGTTCACCAATTCACCAGCGCTCTGAGATGGGAGATGAAATACGAATTTACTATTTCGGGCATCGAACTAAAAGTTTCTGAGGAACAATCACACACAACGTACATATATTTAAGCAGTGGCATTTGCTTCGAGAAGCCCCTCCAACAGTGTACGCTCGCGAGCGTTCGCTCTTCGCAATCACTCTGATTTTCTGGCAGCTCCACATAAGCGTTGGAACTCCTCTATTGCCCACTTGTCTTTTAGCCATTTAGTCGCCGAGCGAATGTGGCCGTAGGGTGGTTACGCCGGAGCAGCGAATTTTGTACGCATAACGCCGAAGTGCGCCGCGTCGCATACATAATAACGCATTTGAGTTTCAAAACGATTTTTGTCAGTTTCTAAAATTTATTAGTTTCTTCATCGTCTCGCTGATTGTTGGTTTATTTCGAAATTTGTTTGCGTTTTTCGTTTTGGAAATTAAGTTTTTTCCTTTTCAAAATCGATTTCTCAAACAGTTCAACGTCTCTTTGGTTTGATTTAAAAATAAAATGTTGTGTGTTTTTGCTGTTGTACCTGTGCTTGATGTTGTGGCGGTGTTTGTGTAGTTGGCACTTTTTTAGATTAATTATATTTTTTAATTATGTGATTAATCCCGTTATTTTCAGTGGCTTCTTTGTTTTGACTGGAGTGTTGTGTTTTATCATCTTTTAGTTTATTTCATTTTTTTTGCTATTTAACAAAATGAAAAAAGATTATGAATTTAAAGAAAATAATAATATTTTAGACGGAATTCCTAAGAATAGCGAAGCTTCAAATTGTGTATTTGGGCAATGACTTTTCAAAAGTGTTTCCAAGTAATGTAAAGTTGGTTACAAAATATAAAAATTAATTTAATTAAGATCGTTTTAAGCGCAAAGTTTTTTTTGAGTTAATAGTTTTCTGTGAACCTCAAGACTTGTGTAAAATTCATTTTTTTTATTTTACTTTGATTTCTTATTATTTCTTTTTAAATTCTTTTTATTTTATTTTATTATATTCAATTTTTATTGAATTTATATTTTAAAATTTATTTTAGTTTATATAATATTAGGTCTAGTAAAAAGAAATGCGTTATTTTTGCAAAGCTAAAGCCATCGTGAGTGCGGCTGGATTTCGCTAGATCCCGTTAGAAAGATGATTTTTTGTACTCAAAAAGATAATAGAAGACATAGTGATCACTTAACTCAGTAGTGTGCAAGCACATGTCAAAGATGGCCGCCAGCGAAGACTATTTTATAAAACTTTTCTTCGATAAAGCCGAAATATAGAAACCCCTTGAAAGACGGGAGTTTGGTGGAGAAATCAGTTAACGGGAAAAAATCTCATGAATCGCATTTCCATCAGTGAATCGCTGCTGAATCGTAACAAAATCAACCCATTTCTGAAATGTGGCTGGTGATGAAAAGTGGACCACTGAGAGCAATTTCAAACGTGAGTCGGCACAAAATGTCTCCAAGCTACGATTTGACGGCCAGGAGGGTTTTTTTGTATTTGGTGGGAATGGCAAAGGATCGTCCACCTGGAGCTGCTACCCTACAGTCAAACTATGATTTCCGGCTTGTAATGTCAACGATAAGAGCGACAGAACGAAGCAATAACCCAGAAACACACAGCTTTGGCCATCAAGAGGGGAATTGTGTTTCATCGGGAGAACGCTAGACCACAACTCGATAGTGACTCGCCAGAAACTCCGAGAACGGTATGAGGCTCTTATGCAGCCACCTTATAGTCCGGATCTCTCACTAAGAGATTACCATCTGTTCCTGTCTACATCGAATGAGTTCGCTCAAGGCAAGCCTGTGAAAATCGATTGTCCTAATTTTTCCCAATTTTTTTTTTACTTTTTTACTGTACTTTGTTCCATTTCACTCTTTTTCCTTTTAAATTATTTTTTTTAATGTCTTTTTCAGTTTTTATTAAATTTAATTTCATTTTGTTTTATTTTAAATTAAATTCATATTTTTTGTTTAACTTTGTTTAAAATTGTATTGTTTAATAATATTTTATATATGTTTTTTAATTGCTTTATAATATTTATATATAAGTTTTTAGTTTGTCTAATTTTTCTTGGCAATTTGCCTGCCACACTTACTGATTCGCCAAGGCGAATACTAAAAGATTCGTATTTGTACGTGGAGACTTGAATTCGTATGTACGTGTATGTATGTATGTATGTGAGATGCGCGGCGTCTCGAGTTGAGTAACATTTTGCATTTCTTTAAAATAATTTTCCGGGCAAATTACAACTGAATATTTGTGCGTATTTATGTTTTCTCTTGTGTTTCACAACATTTATAAGTAGACTATGAATGTGTGTGTGTGTATGTTTGAATGTGTCACATCATCAATCAATGAGTGCATGGGAAATTAGAAAAAAAATTATACAAAATCTGAGAATATTTAATTAATTAAATTACCGTTGTATTTTTAAAATTTTCCTCTTTAGTCATTTGACAGCACTTAAATAAGACGTCAATACACATACACACATATAAATATATATTTACACGTATATGTGTGTGTGTGTGTTTAAAGACAGTTTCTTGATGCCAAAACACTCCCGTTTTGGTTAATAAATAATCGAAACGAGCTGCCACCCCTCGCCACCAACGAAAAGAAATCTAAAATTTACTGATATATATACATATATATATGTACGTGTATGTATATATTTAAATAAAATTTACGCGCGTTTACATTTGTACGCAAAGAAGTGTATAGAGCGTAAAACGTGTCGCAAATTTTAAATATTAAAATCAAACGACATAAATAAATAAAAAAAAAAAAAGAAAATGAAAATGCCGGTGCTACGTCAATTCTCACACAATCCGCAAACGCGCAGCAATGAGGAATTCATTTTTATACGCTGTGGTAAAAACACAAACGTATGTACTATACTCGTAGATATGTATGTATGGGTGTACTTAGGATACCACGAGTATGTGGTAAACAAAAAGTATAGCTTTAGATTGATAACTAGGTACATGACACTAATATATTATATATATATGTATATTTGCTTATTTATCAAGTCTTGATTTAAAATTTATTTTATTATGTATGTATGTATGTATTGTTATGTGTACTACTTAATTTGTATCGGCATGAAGGGGTGCAATTGTAGTTTGAGTTTTTTATCAGCCTCTCTGTTGTGATAATTTTAACACCTCACAGCCACCCCCCCAGGAGAGCTTCCTTGAAGGCTCTTCGTACGCATGCATTGAAATATGTATATGTGTATATATAAATATGTGTGTATGCACCTAGTTTTTTATTATATATTGATTTGAATATTTCGCTTTATCTAACGCTTTGTACATACAACTGGCATCGCCAACTGGTCTTTAAGATTTGTTTTTTAATTTCTTCTTTTATGCTTTATTAAACAGTTGTTGGCGTTCTTCTCTCCTTTTCCGCACACAAATTTATGCCAACCGTGTGTTGCCATTTGTTCAATGGCATTTAATGGAATTGTTGATGAGAGAATTATGCCTTTTGCGTAGAAATATCTATATGTATTTACATATGTGGGTGCTGTCTGTATTTTGTATATTTATATGTGTATTTAAACGATAGAATGCAGACAGCCCAACGCGTGAGCCAACGTTTTTTTTTGTTTTTTTTAATTCTCATAAATCAAATATAAGAATAAATACTCTTTTGTATTTATGTTCAATTTGAAAACCGAAAACTGAACTTGAAAATGTTTTAGATATTTATGTATTTTCTAAAAAAAAATTGAAAAAAGTCTAAAAAATGTGAAGGAAATCCATTTAAGTGAAAATGAAAAATGAAAATCCATAATTTAAATTATGTTTTATTCCAAATAAATTGCCAATATTCTTAAATTTTATAACAAAATCAAAAGTAAAAAAAAAACACATTTAATAAATAGTTTTCTTTCTTGTTATATTTCTTTTTATGTATCAATAGAAACGGCTTGCCATAACTGGCTTAGTATATTATTTTACTATTATCATTAAAAAAACTGAATTTATTTTTTTATATTTAAGTGAACTGATAAAATACCAAAAGAACTCGAATCGCCACCGGGATGTATGCAATTCTCCAAGGCTCCAATAGTTTATATAAAAAACACACACACATGCGCACGAATATAGAAATGTTAAATATGCATTTTATATGTAAATATATGCAAGAATGCTTGTCGCACATTAACAATTATTGTTTTCCGTGTTTTTTAGATTTTCTGCGACGCTTCAAACTCTTGTATTTGTTAGAAGCAATGCACGGCTAAATTGACAGCGTAAAACAAACAAAAGAATACAATACCGACATTTGCCTTTCCGTTTCATTTGCATAGGGTTATCCATTTCGTGGTTTTCAAAGTGAGGAATTGTTGAAATGGCAATTCAAACGTGGCCACTTTGCGTGGCTTAAGAGAAGGAATTCAAAGCGACTGTGTCGGTTGCAGATATTGCAAGGTCTGTGCATTATCGATAGTGAAAGTGTAGCCGAAGACCCGAATGTGTGTCTGACTTACACCTACATTCATATAAAGTCCAGTTCGTAGCACAACTGAGCCGGCGGACCATTGACAGCGCCGTTCATACACCGATTGGGGCGCAGAAAAACAAGCAGTGGATGGCGATATTTCGAACAAAAATTTCTTCAATCACGTGGCACATTTCCCACTCGGGAAATACGTAAAAAATCAAAATTGTCGCATTGAAGAGAGGTCATTGATTGATTGATTGGACCTGACCTCTTTGAAAACGTCAAGGGCGGTGCTATCACTGCCATTTCGGAGCGTTATGATCGGCATCGGTATTTGAAGAACACGATTTGGATAATATGTGGTTTCATCAAGATGTTGTTTCTCAGCGATGCCAATTAGTTACAGAGATCGTGCGATTTCACGCCGGTTTTTTTTCGGGGCTACGCGAATTTCAGGATAAAAAAATTATTTTAAATGAATTTTATTTACGTTTTTGTTTTGAAACCGCAAAATGGATAACTCTGTATTATTTTATTTTCTTTATTTATTTTATTAATTTCACTGAATTTTGTACAACTTTATATTTTTATGCTATTTTTTTTATTTATTTTATGATTTTGTGTAATATTTGATACCTGATTTTATTTTTTTATATTTCTTTGATTATTTTCATTTTATTTTATACTTTTAATTTGAGAGTTATTTTTTCTTTTTAATAATTATTTTTTTATTTTTTCGTACTGTAATTTTATTTCACATTTTTTGTTTATTTATTTTGATTGTATTTTATTTTATAATGTTTTTTTTTTTGTTTTAATTTATTGTATTTTTCAAATTTGATTTTATTTCACTTTGTTTTACTTTATTATGCCGTCTCTTTTATCCTTCTTTAACATTTTATCTTTTCTTAACTTTGTTTGTAAATTTGCAAACACCAAGGCTATGTACATATGTATGTACATATATAAGTTTAAATGTATGTACCCACGTTCGCGTATATAAATATGCCTATTTGCCCTATCAGAGAATCTGATTGACAGCGACAAGTTGAACAAAGTTAAAGCTTTGTACTTGCATATACGAGTACATATGTATGTATATACTTGTATGTATGTGTATGAAGTACTATTTATTAATGGCTCTATTTAGTCGGAATATTTGTTGGAACTTAGCATTTGCTTATCGATCAAAGCGCAAACAATAAATATATTAATAACAACAATTCGTAAAGTAAATATAAAGAAGGTCTGGACAGTGAGTGCTGTACAGATATAACAAAGTTAAGTGAAAAATTAAATAATAAATATTTTACGCTTCATTACCGAATATTGGGGGGAAAGAGAAAGAATTGGAGTTTATATCAGAAAGTTGCCATATTTTGATTTATTTTTATTTTCTCAGTTTATAATTATAAAATCTTAATCGCACTTCTCTTCCTCTTGCCATTTCCCACAGACTGTCCAAACATCTTGGCGTCCTCAGCTGCCGTTGCCCAAAGAACTTGACGCCGCCGACAACAACAACGACGACGACGTCGAATCAACCGATGAGCAGAGTCTCTCCGGTATGGAGCGCTCTTCACAACATCATCACACAACAGCCGCACACGCCGGCCATCGAAAAGACAGTAACCTAAATGGTTCCCACGCCTCTAATGCGCCAACGTCCAGTGGCTCGAATAAAAAATGGTCTTTTGGGCGACTCTTTCGGCGAAAGAAAGATGTAGCTTCAGATTCATCGTCCGAAGAGGATCGTAAAGCTGGTTTTGTGCCACATCAACAAAGGCAGCCCACACGTGGCGCCGCCAGTGTCGGTGGCAGTAGTGCTAATTTGAGACCAAAGTCGAGTAAGGCGAATAAAGTTAGCCGCAGCGGAAAGCTGAATGGCGCGAGCTTTGATCACATCGTTGTGAATTCACAGCTTAGTGGAGGCCCGCCCTCAACGCCACCACATCCACCACCACCAGCACATGTAGATCACGAATTCTTTTTACCCGTCGAGACGATTTCTCCATCGGAAGCCTACTATCAGAATCAACAACAATACCTCCAACATGGCGCCCCACAGGCCGGTTATACGCGTTCTTCGAACTCCTTGGATAGACGTGCTGCACGCGCCGCACTGAAAACGCGCTCCGCACAGCGCTTGCCTTATGAAGCGGCCTTGGGCGCACATTCCTCCAGCGAGGAGGAGTTGATTTCACTGAACTCATCTACTTTTTCAAAATACCGCAGCGATGAAAGCATACACAGTGGCGGGCAAGGTATAGTCGGTAATGGACAGAGTAGACGCAGTCGCGCTGCACGCAATGAACGCTACTACAAACGGCTCTCCCGCGATGGGGAGCCAAGCAGCGGGCAAGTACCTGTTATGTATGCGCCACAGCCGACGCAACGCTGGAAAACTCAACCAGTGCCCCTCTCAATATACAACCCAGCGGCGCCACCACCAACCGCCGCCGCCGCTGCCGCAGCCACTCCACGCCTACGCAACACCGGCAGCCTTCAGCATGTCGCTCCCTATGTACAGTGGGGTCAATTGCAGCAGCAACCAAAGAATTTGCAAAATACCGTTAACGACAGTAAGCGAAGCATAAGCTACGACAGTCACATACATTTACAGAATATTAACGGGCGCCTGCAGACGAAACCACTGCCACCACCACCACCTCCACGCGATCCGCTGCGTCGCGTTAATGTTAGTGGACAAACGCAGAATGGCAGCTCCGGCGACCTACGTCCCATCTCGTACGCGTTCGATCAGAGCGGTCTACCCACACTGCCTGCCCCAAGTCAGCGTTTGGGTGGACGTTGTGTGTCAGACGATAAAATTTGGTCGGGTCCGGCAGGTCCACACTACCAATCCATGCACTCGTTGAATATGCAAACGTCTAACGGAGCGCAACCGCCAAACACGCCCCACCACCGCCGTTTTATAACGCGCGCCGAACGTGATGCGCAACCGGGAAAGAAATCTCTGCCGAACGGCATTGAGTTTCACTATGTGGCTGATGCAACACCGCGTTCTCGCAAACCCATACATATGATGGAGCCCCAGTTGGATTCTGGAGATAAGGAGCCGCCAACCGCGGGCATTTTACGTACCACTAAGAGCGGTATGCCCGCTCCCTCTTCGACGTCGGCAAAACAAATGCATGTTAATGACTTCTGGAAACGCATGGACGCAGGCGCTCAACGTCGGGGTCGCGATGGAGACCGCGCATATGTGGCGGAGAGCAGCACAAAGCCACGCTCCATTTCCAGCTCGCGTGTAGGGGAGATGCGCGCTTACCCCATACCTGTTTACTCAGAGGTGCTAAAACCGAACAAAAAGGCCCTGCAGCCCCCACCGCAGCCCGGCGTGGACGAGGTAGACAACATTGTATGTGGCAGCTTGCACATAAAATCCAAACCGGACGCTGCAAATGCGAATTATGTCGAAATACGTAACAAAGATTACAACAAAAGCAGCTCAATGCCAAATCACTATCAACGCCGCTCAGGTGAGATACCCAATACACCGAACAAGTACGACGAGTACGTCGCCGAGAAGCGCGAACAACATCACAAACCCATATACACGCCGCCAACGCCACCACAACGCAAACTCTCTATACCACCGAGCAATGTTGCAGAGCTGCCCATCTATTTCCCACGGAAGAAGCCCGCCAATCTCGAGGAAGCAATAAATGAGTTGGAAGCCATCTACAAATCTCTCGGTCTGACCGAGGAGCCCGAGAAGGCCGAAAAACCCGAAAAGAAGGAACGCATACCGACACCGATTGAGTTCGAGAAATACGCCTTAGCCCACGCGCACGAATACGACGAAGAAGACTCGCCCTCTGGTGAACCCGATCCCATACGCGACGATGTAGCCTACCGTAACATGCAGCTGGCGAATTTGCAGCACAAAACCGTGGAGAAGCAGCCGCCATTCGGCATACCCATTGGCCCGGTTGTTGCTGCGCCGCAAAACGACTATCTGCATGTTACACCCATTGTAGAGGCGCCTCTAAAACCGGTGAAGAAAACGCCGGACGTAGTGAAAGATGACTTGGCGGTGCGTGCCTTGCGCAAGGATCCACCAGGACCCAAAGATACATTCATTTACCCATACAGCTCGTGTCAAAAAAAGAATCGTGCAACGCGCACACAATCAGCGAACATTTATAATCTAATCCACCGTGACGCGGCCAAGCCATCGGGCGGTGATCTGCATTCATACCTAGAATTGACGCGCAACTTAGAGCGTGCGGGAAGTATGTCTGACCTGCACAAGGACGACGGCGAACGTGCGGCAGATGTTCCAGCCACGCTGGCGTTGCTGCGCAACCTCAAAGAACAAGAACAGCAACAAGAGGAGCAGTGCGTGATACCAAAGAAAGTAGCCATACCTTTTCGTCATCCCAGTCAAGGCGGCGCTATATGCGCGTTGCCCGAAAAGTTGCCCACCAGCAACCCGCAGCACAAAGAGGAATTACACAAAGCGCCCGTGCCATTGCCCCGCAAAAGCCTAACGCCCGAACCCACTGCTGCGAATGCGCAAATGGAGGACGCGTTGAACAGGATAGCCATGGATGCACAAGAAAAGTCGGTGAAACTGACCAAAGAGCTGCAAGAGCTGCGCAAAGAGGCTCTCATAACAGCGGCCGCACGTCCGAAACCACCAAGTGCTGAAGAGGAGAAGCTCGAGAAAGATTTGCAGGAGATTGAAGCCGTGTCTGAGGCAGCAAAGCGTTGCGGTAAAATGCTACTGGACACACTGCCGGATGCAAGTGAAAACCAAGCGTTGGCGAAACCGCGTAAACTACACAAAGAAGGTAAACTAATCGAGGCGATAGATCAGGTGTCTGAAGCGGCGAATGCTGTGTGCGAGAAAATACTTAAGGACATTGTGACCACCGAGCCGCCAGTAGTCGTGCAAGAAGCGGTGCAAGTTAAAAACAACCAGACGCCCACCGAGACACTTGTTATGCCCAATTTGATTAAGAAACTGGATCCCATACAATCGGAGCAAATCGAGGCGATCGCCAAACGCTGCATGCGTCAACTGAGCGCGCTGGCCGATGACAATCCCGACTATGACAACCTCAATCAGGACTTCAATCAACAGCAGCAGTCGGAAGCAGTCACCGCTAAAGCCGCCAAAGCGACTGCTGTTGCCTGTAACGCTGAACATATACAATTGGAGTCAGCGCCAAAAGTTGATAATCTCATTTCTACCGTTGCAGAAATGGCCCAAGTGCACAACGCGCAGAATTTACACATTGAGGAAATCGATCAGATTATGCAGGAGTGCGAGGAGCAGATGCGCGCCGAAGTTGGAAAAACAGCGCCGACAACAGCGCGACCTGTCGTGGTATCGGAGCGTACTTTGGCTGCTACACGCCATCTGAGCGCAGCACCGAGCATTAAAAGCAGCAGCGGTGACGATCACACTACCGCGCCCAGCATAAGCAGTTATAGTAACAGCAACAACAGCAGCGGTAGCAATAATGTTGGCGCTGTGAAGACGGGCGCCAGCACCACTGCGTCCTCGTTTTCCTCCTCCAGCGATTGCCTAGCGAAATCATCAAGTCCCTCCGCCTCCGGTCGACGACAATCTTCGAGCATTACCTCTTTCAATCCTTACTCCTCCAGTGATTATATTAAGTCACCCAGTAGTGAATATCACGCACCCAGCACCGATCCGATAAAAACATTTAGCACTACCTCATACGAGGTGCCATCGACTACAAGCGTCGGCGCCACTACTAACAAAAGCGCCACAACGAACAGCACCTTCAGTCACTCGCCATCGCCGCCACTGAATTTGCCGCCGGTTAGTGAGCAAGCTGTGGCGGTTCCCAGCTCACGCGCTTCGGCTGCGCGTCAGTCACAAGAGCGCGCGCGTACAAGATCCTTCTCATCGCCATCGCAATACAACTCATCTGAAGAGTTAGCAATGATTTTCGGCATTGACGAGCAGCCGCGTCGTCAGCGCGCACACGAACGCCAACACGCTAACGAAGTGCAGCAACAGCAGCAGCCCGCATCAGTAAGAACTGTTTCAGGTAAAGGCGAAGTCGTTAATAAATCATCCGTTCATGTGTCTAGCCAAGCGGCGTCATCAAACAGTCATGCATCTGGTGCCCATGCAACCACCACAACCACCGCCACCATGCTCGATATTGCTACTACTACTACCACTACTACCACTACTACTACTATTTTTACTACCGCAAGCTCTAGCCAGTTGCTAAATACTAATCATAACGTTGTTGCCATTGGCAGAGCTAACGAAATTCCGAAGCCCAGAGATACTAATAAAAAAGAGACTTTGAATGTTATTGTTGTTGTTGATGAGAATGCTAAAGCTGATGTGGAAGACATGACTACCACCAACCCCTCCACTCTGTGCAAAACTACCACTCCTAGTACTATTAGCCTAACAACCGTTAACCCCACTAGCATAACCTTAAATAGCATTAATACCAAGAACTCTACCATTAGCCTAAGCCCAAGTAGTTGTAAGCTCGCATCTATACCAGAGAACCAAAGTGACGACACCTCAGAGTGTTCGTCTCTCAAATTATCCTCCAACTTTAATAAGATCTATGCTAGTAAAATAAGTATTGTAGTCGATGGTTTAAGAGCAGAGTCTACTAAGGATGTGAACCTGATCGCCAGCACACAATGCGACTCGACGTCGAGCTCTTGCGACGAAGAGACATCCTCCAATCCAGACTCTGGTAATGTGAGTTTAGCGGACTATCCCCTCATGCTCACGCAGTCGAATAATGCTTACTTGCACTTGGAGAACGCTTGTAATAGTCGCTTCGAGGTTAAGAAGAAAAAGATGAACTTTGTGAGTGAGATTTCTATAGAACGGGACAATGCAAGTTTCGAGGATAAGACCAGAAATAAGAGCCAATGTCCGCGCAAGACAAAAACTGAAGACTTTCCGCCTCCACCAACGGAGGAGGAGCTACTAGATAGTTTAAGGGGGGTTAATATTTTAGTGGAAACCTTTGAGAAAGCATTTCCTGAGCAGCACGAGTTTAAGGAAGAAATTCAAGCTAAAAAATCGGTGAGCCTCAAAACCACAGGTGAGTGCGAAGCTGCTGATATTGGGAATAACAGCAAGCCCGAAACTCGTGATGACCTCCTAAACCAATTCGTGTCCCCAGGTAATGCAGCCCTTACGTTAGACGATATTTCGGCGAGCGAAAATTGTATTGGGCACAGCAACGGTGAAGAACTTAGTTTCGTAGAGAATAACGAAAGCGAAGTTGGGTCTTTGAAAGAACACGGTGATGGACATAGTTCAGAAGAGAGTGTAATAGGCGAAGAAATTTACGATTATGAAGAGGGTGAGGAGCCTTATTTAGATGCAAGCATTGCAACAGAAAACAGCTCGAGCCACCAAAGTCAAGAAGAGCATAACTTTGTTGAAACCAACATGGCTGGGAAACTATACTCAGGAAAGCCGAAAGAAAGCTTAAGAGCTAACACGTTAGAAACTCGAATAGCACAGAATGAAATCACGAAATCCACCGAGCGAAAATCACGTTCAACCGAAATGCTCAAAGATGAACAATTAATAGAATTGGCACACTTGGTCAGAAGTAGTAGTGGTTCTCGGAAAAGCAGTCTGTGCTCAACAAAAGATGCCGATGTAAAGGACACAACAACCGAAGAGTACAATTACAGCTCCTCGGCACGCATCTCAACTGAATTAGATCAGCTCCGGTTGGCGTTCGCCGAGCTTTTAGAAAGAAATCTTACAGACCTCGATGAATTGCCGCGCATTGATGAAGAAGACGATGTTGAAGCCTCTACCAATATAGGCGTAGAAAGTCAAGCTCTCGAACAAGAACTCACTATATCAAACAAGGATACCCACGAAACGCCACAGCGAAAGCAAAGCATAGTCTATGAGACGCCACCACTAGAGCTCAGTATATGCGATGTGAAATTCAATTACACTCCAGAAGATGAGCCCCTTAGCCGAAGTTCAACACAATCACAAAGAACACAATACAACGCCGAAGTAGGGCAGCTCAATGAAGCGCCCCAATCGACGCCGCGAAAATCGTTGGTGGAGAAAGAAAAATTCAATGGCCTAGCAAGCATGGAGTCTTCGCTACTGCCTTGGCGTCGCAGGCATGACAATGAGCTGAGCGATGCAGTAGAAGATGGTGATGAGAAGCCTTCGACCAGCGCTGCAGCTAATCAGCGACGCGCGCTCTCAATATTTGGTGAATTACGTCCAGCGGCGGCGGCGGCGGCGGCGACGACGAGTAGTTTAACGACACTTGAGCACGTGTCGCTGGCTTGTTCGTTGGGCGTTATCACCCCCACAGATCTATATACTTTGTGTCTAATTATTATAGGCATGATAACTATAATAGCGATTGTTTTGTTTTGAGTTGGAAACTCTTAAGCGAGTTGGACTCCAAAGCATACTTTTATTGTTGAGTACATGCATATATTTCGCACTTTCAATTGTTGATGTAAATGTGAGAAGGCTACATTTGAATAAAGAAACCACGTAAAAAATTTTGCACATTGTTAAGTTTGGTAGTTTCGGGTGTAAGAGAAAACGAAAAGAAAAAAAAAAAGAAAAAAAATATTGAGAAACAACTTTTAATAGAATTTGAGTGACTTCAAAAGTATATACACCCGAGTATTGTACCATAATTGTTAATAGCTTTTAAGTTTTATTGCCTTTATAAACAAATAATTTTAATTAACGAATTTCACCAAAACGATTAACGATATTAATAAAATTTAATTGAATTTATTTTCAAATTACTTCATTATGCTCCTGCTGAAATTAACCACCTTCGTTTAGTGCAATTACTATTGTATTCTTTAAATTTTTTAAAAATATATATATTTTAGTACTGCATACAACGAGTAATTTTATTTCAAAATATCATTTCAACGTGCGACGCTTAAGAGACTTATTGCAACGAAATTCGCGGACAAAAACGAAAAGTACTTTTTAAATATTTTTGTATTTGTATTTACCTATATTTAATTTTAGTAAATAGATACACTCATGGGAATGATAACTCAAAAGTTTTTTTTTTTGTATTTATAATTGAAAAAATTCCAAAATCTATGAAAAATAAAACCTTCACTTCTAGCATTTCGAGAAACTAAAAAATAAATGTTTAGTTATTCAGAAAAATAAATTATGCCACAAAATAAAAAATCTAAAAAATAATTACAAAGCTTCGAAGTTCAATCAATTTTCTTTGACTTATTTTTGAATTTGTAAATTTTTTTTGACTTTCTTGTTAATTTTTAACTTTTTTGTTTTTCTTAATTTTTTGTATCTTAAAATTATTATAGTAATTTTTCATTTCATTATAATTTTTTATTGTTTTATTAAATGTTATTGTTTTTTGTCATTTTTTTTTATTTTCTGAATTTTCGATTTTTTTATTTTATTTTTTTTATTAGTTCATTTTTTTAATCATTTTGATTCAATTTTATTTGATATTTTATTGTATTTGAATTTATTATATTTTATTTATGTTTCCAAATTTTCTTAGTTTGTTTGTATCATAAATATAAATTTTAAATTTCTTTAACTTATCTTACTTTTTTTAATATTTTATTATATTTTTTTTTAATTTTTTTAAATTTATTTTTTATTTTTCTTATCTTGACATTTTCTTATTTGTTTTTTAAATGATTTTATAAATTTTTATATCTTTTTGGATTAATTAACCACCAATTTTAACAGTAAAATAATTTTTAATTTCGCAAGTTTAGAAAAAAATATCAAAAAAACTTTTGGAAATGGGTTTTTTTTTAATAAAATTAAGCTTTTGAGAATTGCATTTAATTTTTTTGTTGGTTTTTGGAATTTCGACTTATACGAAATCGATAGGTGCCGTTATTTTTTCTTCAACTCTTTTTCAATACATTTTATAATTTAGATATTTAAGTAGCATTCTAAAAAATTAAAGTAAATATGTTTAGGCCTAAGAGTTTTTTTTTACTGTAAAAGTTACTTGATTTTCTTAAAAAATGTATTTTGTCATAAAAATGATGTAATTTTTGTTCTATTTTATTAAAGAGCCGGACAAAATATTTTTTTTTTTTAATTATTGTATTTTTTAACAAAGTAAAATAGAATTTTCCCTTCTTTCTACTTTACTAACCCTAGCATATTTAGTTGGTTATTGTAAGTAAATATTACCGTTATGTACCAGAATATATACGAACTAACCTACATAACCACTTACTTAATTTGTGCATTTTAATTGTTTATATGTGCATAAAACTATATATGTATGTATGTATGTAGCAGCATAATTTAATATTAGACTGCGATTTGTGCCAATGATTTATTTCTAAGTAACATTTTCATTTTGTAAAAGTACAGTAATTTAACTTTAAGTTCCCTACAAACAAACGCATACAAGCATACATAAAATAATATTTAATTAAAAATAATTTAAATTTCATTTCATTCAGATGCGCCGACATTGTAACTATAAATGCCGCTATTTTTTATTACAATAAAACCAAAATCTTACTGTCTCTCTCTCTCTCTCACATATACTTTCAGCCCAAGCCGTAGTCTAAGCATTTAGAAAGAGAAATTAAGAAAAATTGAAATTACTTTTGTGATTTTGAAAAAAAAAATACCAATGAATTTGTTTGTTCCAATTTCTTTTATTCTTTTAAATATATTTTAATTTTTTTTTTCTTTCAGTTTTTAATTTTGTAAAAAAATATTTAACTATTGTTAGCATCATATTCGTATGATTTATAAAAGTATTTAGTTTTTAGAATTATGTTCTATGTTTTTATTAGAATTTAATAAAAGAAGCCGTATAAATAAAATGTTTTTAAACATATTTTTGAAATGTTTTTATTTTCCGATTTGGTTAAACTTTTTTCATTTGTGTAGTGCTTGTGTTTCCATGCTTTTGTCGAGTGTTTTTTGTTCGTGTTTGCCGAAGTAATGTTGCCCGAAAAGCAAAAAAGTAGTTAAGTTATTTATTCTCACTAGTTTTCCGCTGATGAAACTAGTATTTGAATATTGACG